AGTTCAAAAACCCGACGTCAAAGCCTACAACTGACATTATCGCTAGTTAACTTGGTAGTGTGGAGTTACAAGGAGGAACAAAAATACAGTTCGGTGCTCAAAGTGACAACGGTGGCTACAGAAGCTCTCAGTCAGCGGACGGTGATACACCCTTGTTCTTCTTGTTCCATGAAGCTGAGCAGCAGCATGCGGTACGCCGGCAGATGCGTGACAGCGTTCAGGAATTTTCTGTCTGTGCACTGACCAATAGCATCCGACTGCGGGGACCAGAGAGATGTCATGCGCCACCTACAGCTCAGACCCGGTATCGCATCAGCAGGTCTTTTTTTTTTTTCCTTTGGGGGTCGCAAAAGCGGATCATGTTCATCACCGTTCATAGCATCCTCTTCTGTCACACCAACCCTCTGCATGTCCTCCTTTGGTACATCCATGAATCTTTTTTGTGGCCTTTCTCTTTTCCTCCTAGGTGGAAGCTCCATATCCATCCACCAACTCTTTCTCATATCTTCATGGTATGGGTCATCATCTTTATCGCTGTATATTTACTACCACTCGGTCTGTCACACTTGTTTCTTCTCTTCTCTATCCCTCAGGAATCCTTTCACTCTCCAGGACTGTGTTAAACTATCTGGTTAAAAACTCAGCTGAGCTCTGCATACCTCCACAGGTATGTCATCTAAACCAACTGCCTTTCCACTTCTCATTCTTTTTATAGCTGCCATCATTTCCTCCAGCTAATCCTCTGCACTTCCTGGTTTACATCTTCCTCTCTCTCTCATTTTATACATTCATCAGGTCCTCAAAGTACTCCTTCCACCTTCTTAGCACACCCTGGTCACTGATTAGTACATGCCCATCTCTATCCATAATCACCCTAACCTGTTGCTCATCCCAGTATCTCACTAGAGTCTGTATCATCGCTGTCTGACTTCTGGTAGCTGTAGTGTCAACCATTTGCAGGTTGGTATTTTCTTAAGTATCACAACTACTTCAAATCAGCTGTAATAAAATTGTCTGGCTGTTAAGACTTCTGATTATGTTTCTGGCAACTCTCACCAGCTAAACATATCAAGCAGTCACATCAGCAAATCAGCATCAGGTGATGCAAAATCATGTTGTTACAACAGAATGTTCTGCTTTTACTTTGACACATAGTACCCACCTACGCTGTTGCAGATCCTGCCATGGCAACAGCACTCACCAGTGACTGTGGTCAGCAGGACACTGTATTCTACAGCATCACAAAGTCAATCAGCCTACTTTTATTAGACACTCATGAATCTGGAGATTCAACTAACACAGGGAAGGAATACAGTATATAAAGTTCACTGTCATGCAAAAAGACAGCTGTGGCACTGCCTCCACCCCTCGGACTCAAAGCGTGGGGATGATTCCAGAAACACTGAGCTTGAAAATAAATACATTTATATGTCTTATATATCCATTCCTCAGCACTGCTTTTATGACTGACTAGTATTAACTTCTGCAGTTGAACCATTTCTGTCTCATCAGTATTATTCTCATGGGATCAAAAATAGCAAATAATCCCATCAAACTGTTCAAACTCGCTCAAACACAGATTCCAACATTTAACCACATTTTTTTTCTGTGCACTGATAAATTAATTTAATGCAAAAATATGTATTAGAACATCTAAAACTGCAACCCTATCACAACATCCACCACATTCTAAGTAAAAACATGACAAACTGGTGTGCACAGGCATCAGATGATTGGCCAGAACATCACCAAACGTCATTTGTGAGAGTACCACACTTATCCTCCAAATGTCACACTCTAACTTAACTATTTTTTATTTTGTCATTCAATGTTAGGAATTAAAGTGAACCAACAGTCAATCAAAACTGATTCACATAAATATTTTCACTTTTTATTGGTTAGACATACAGACTTGGAATTATAAACAGAGGGCAGTTTAGAAAGGCGGTGCGTGTTCATTGATCGTTCTCGTAGTCGGCTGAATTCTTCCTCTTGCCCTGCTGATGGACGCTGTTGCCCCAGCTGTAGGTCAGATACATAAGGATCATTGCTGAAAAAAGGATGATGACAAAACACATTAGCGATTTGACACTTTATGCACCTTACTGTGAAATAAGTGTCTTTAGTAAATCCTTAAAAATCATATTGTCTGTTCTCTCCGTTCTCTTCAAATCTTCACTCATGCTTCACACATGACACGACTAAAACATTTCTATTATATTAGCACAAATACTGTTATGGTCAAACTTATAATCAATTAATTTAACAGGTCGCTTGTATTTTTATAGGTTAAAATACAAGCGTTTTTAGCTCAGAACCCAACTTCCAGATTCCAGGTGAAGTTTAACTAGGAAAATATGAACGACTGAAAGCTGAAGCAAACAGGCCAAGCATGTCACATATGCTCTTATTTAATTATAAGAATTTACTGATATTGACATAATGAGCTGGTATACCAGAATCCTAACATAGTGTAAAAGAAAAACACTCACGGGGTGCAACTTTGAAGAAAGATGACGTGACCCTCCTCCACACATTTGGGATTCCCTTGGAGAAGTAGTTGGGGAAAGCCCTCTGCTCAAAAGGGGACAGACTGTATGTGATTATATGCCTGACCTTGGCCAAGTTTCCAAAGTGGCGTCCCATGTTTACTGGAGAGCTGGGCTGAAAAGACAGCAAGACGCATACAAACACAGTCATCAGTGCTTAAGTGTTTCTGTGAACTGGATTTAAAGCAAATATTTTTAACCCAATAGCTGGATAATATATCTAATGCTCTCCTCAGAAACCAGCCTGTCATTGGAAAGGGGGTTATTGGGGTTACTGGATTTTGAATATACATAAAGGGCAATACATACGTGTCGTATTAACTTTAACGTAAAGTCGTCATTTAAACGTTAGCTTATGTAATGAGGTTCACAAGTCAGCTTTATAAAGCGGTTTTATGTAACAGTATTACATAAACAATCACCTGCCCTTGTCTTAAAGACTTCCTGTAATAGTCACTAACACAGAACCCCCAAAAGGGTGCCAGATTATTGATCCGTAGCCTGTCTCAAAGAAGACAACATTAAAATCCCAAACGAGCTAAGGTTAGCCGCGCTAGACGTTAGCTCGTCTGTTAGCTCAAACAGGCTAGCTCCTGAGGTACAAACAGACCTTGAGCTTGCACGAAAGCGTGGTATTTGAATCGCAATAGGCTCACACTAGTTCAGTTTCGCTATAAAATTTACTGACATGTCACGTTTTGGTATTACGGAAACATTCAAGAAAAACTTTGCAGTTGAAATAATGACATTGAGACTCACCGCTTTGCTTGTCCACGGTGTTTCTGAACACTTCCGGTGTTCGTCGACCTTTGTCATTCAGGCGTCAGCTCACGCCGAGGGCATTACTGCCGCCTGACGGGCTGGGGTTTAAACGGCAAGCCATGATCTGAGTGAGGAAAATGTGTTTTTCTAGTTGCAGGTCTATTAATACTGTGCTCGTGTGTTTTCAGATATTCCAATATTTGATTATGGGCATCATCTAGTTTAGGCAGCAGATCCTAGCTGCCACAGCAAATCACACTCAGAAGGTGCCAATATTAATCGACTAAGCTCTAAAGGTTTTTTTCCTCAGTTAGGACTTGAAGCAAAACAAGTAAAGTTGTGGTCGAAAGTTCCCATACACTCATCGTGGGCATGGATGTCATGTTAATTTTTATTCAATGATCTAGGGTGGAATGATTGTGCATCATAGATCTTTAATCACTTAAAAAAAAACAAGAATTGGGTGCAGAATTGAATTTGTGTTGGATTTTCTTTAGTGTACATCTGTATACAGGCTTAAATATGAATATATACACTCCCACTAATATTTAGCTAAATGTCTCTTAACGTGTTGCACTTCAACCAGAAACTTTGGTCGCCATAAATAAGGCATATTTTTGGCTGGATGACCACTTTTCACGGCACAGTTGGTAGTTCATTTAAATTGATTACTTTCAAGGCAATGACTGGGCATTTAAACATAGTCCACAATTTTTCACAAGGGTTGAGGCCGGCGAAACACTTTTCCAACAGTAAAACGCTCTTTTCTTTAGTGGCTCATAGCTTTTCACATAATTCCATTTAGACAAAGACAAGGTTTATGCATGTTATTTTTTAATTTTTTTCAACTTTTGCCTACATAATTTCATTCTTTCGAATATTCCTAAGCTGAGCACAGACACACAGTGAATTCATTCAGTTTGCATAAATAGACATGACATGCATTTAGTCTCATTCAACCAGTACAAATATATAAGCATGCAGTCAGTTCACACGTATGCAGTCACTCAGTGACCAGAAGTAATAAATACACACTGAAACCTCGACAACTTTCATTCTGGACATTATGCAGACAGACGTCTGTAATCCCCATGAATAAAACGATATGTAAAAGGTTTGGGAAGCGTTTGTGACTGCTTTTTCTTTTTGTCCAGAACAGGGCTACTTAAAATTTGGCAAATTGTGTTAAATTAAAGAATAATGACAGACAACCCACCCAGAATAAATTAACAAAAACAAGCAAACTTAAAATAAATCATACATCACACATTTTTATCTTCAAGTGTGTTAGATTCATTACAACATTTCTAACAGCTGAAGATCAGGATGCATCTGCACCTTTTCTGCCTTAACAAAACTGAAATAAATGCCACACTTTTACATGATAAAATACTTTAAGTAAACACACCTGCTCCAGACCAAACTTCTTTCATGCACAACGATTTTATAAATTCATGAAATCACCGAGCCTGGTCAGAATATTTGATGCTTCGAAACAGTCCACCTGTGTGATGACTGCTGATGAGGGTTTGTTGACATTCTGATCAGCCTGAAAAACAGAAAGGCATGTTGGTTGCTGGCTTAGCGACATGTACACCTGGTGGCGACCATGTCTTCAAACTCCTTGTAGACGTAAGAGCCGTCCTCTTCAAAGATCATGACACTGAGGGGGCTGTAGTGGGAGGGGACTCACGAGGGCCTGGGAACAGAGGAGTCAAGCTTCTCATAGATGAGGTTTTGCACCATGGTGTGGACGGGTGACCCGTAGATGAAGCCCGTGATCCTCGGGCAGATTCCCCTGCAGTACCTGGGATTGTACTTAGGAGGAAACACAATCCAGTGGTCCAGTTTGAGCTGACTGAAGCGCACCCTGAAATCATACAAGGCGCAGTCACGTGTTGGGAATTCGGAACTTGAGAGAAGCTCAGGCAGCTGGATGTCCAACCTTGTATCATCTCGTTTGCTCTTTGGAGATTCCCTCTTCCATCTCCTCTTGCGCCCACGCCTGCGTTCTGGTTTTAAAGCCCCCTCCTTCTGAAAATTATTAAAGGCCACAGATGGCCTTTTACTTGCTTTAGCACTCTCTAGTGACCTCTGGTGGGCGATTTTACTGGTGTCATTGAGGTAAAGAAGTAGAGGAGGGGACCTCAAGGTGATCTCCAGGGGACCTTTGCAACCATTGCCCTTGGCTCTTTGTTCCTCTGGGCAGGTGATGTTGACAAGCAAGTGTATGTTCTTTTTTGGAAACTTTAGGAGAGGCAGAAAAAATGAAGTGATGTCAACCTCCACCCAGTTTCTCCAGCTCCTCCTGCCTGTGCTGGCTGAAAAGTTCACTGCACGTTGGACCCCTGGACAGAGCGGGCACTGATTCGACCGCTCATACTCCTCGATAGTGATGTAACACAGAGAGCTGACAGGTGCTGAACTTTCATGGTCCAAACTGTACAGCAGGGCCGAGTTCAGAAGTTGCTCTTTTCTTCTCACTTGATGGAGGCTGTAGGATAAATCCTGCATAAAACTCTCTGTGGAAGAACACAAGAACACAAAGGGCAGAAAGTCACCATCATGTCATGATGCAGACGTGCTCAAGATTACACCAAATTTTAATTAGGTTGAATAAACATGCACAACTTATACATGTAGCCAATTCCACCAATGACATTTTACTTTTAAGGGAAGTTAAAAATGCAGGATTAGTGACAATAATGTGTTTCCATAATCAGTTACATACAAACAAAAAAAAAACCTAAAAACGCACACTTGTTGTATATAAAAAAATAAACTTTTGCACACTTTTAAAAATATATATAATAAGAAATATTGGTATATTGTAGCATACCCAAGTATTATCACACTAAAGTTGAATAGCTAAATATAAAAAATAAAAAAAGACCTCAAGCTTTAATATCTGTGAAACCATACATGTGGTTTGGACCGTTTAAGATATTATGTGTTGTATATTAGAAGCTATAAATAATATATCTGTCCCCTGTCTGCAAAAAAGATAGCAAGCAACACAATCCCCAGAGCAGGTATGACCAACTTCACCACACTGGCCTAGTGAGTTTGTGTGTCAACAGTGCAAACAGCGCACCTAGTTGAGCAAGGGTGTGTGCAAATGTACGTGCATCTCTTGGCAGCGAACATCTACCTGCTGCTCTGCCTAATAACAAAAAAAGCGCAGAGCAAAATGGATGATCTGGGGAAGAAATATAGGCAGAGAGGGAGGGAATAAAAATGAGAAAGAAAAGGCAGCTAAATGCTGCAAAAAACATCCCAGTTATGAACCAGATCAAACAAACACTCACCATACATGCAGCCTAATGATTTATCCAGGTGCCCCAAAAGCCATAGCATTACCTTGAAATTCAGTATTTAGGATTGTTGGCAGTCCCAGGTTGCCTTTTTTAATGTTATAATATGAATAAAGTTATTCATTTATAACTAACATCAACGCACAACCTGTAAAATCAGTGGTTAGTGTATTGCATGTACATGGTGGACTGGAATTATTTACGTATGATCTCAGTCTGCCCCTGGTACAGCAGAGAGAAGTGGGTCAGGTCAGTGTAAGATGATGAGATGTAGTATAAGGTATGGTTAATGTCTAGGTAAGGTGAAACATGAGACAGTCACAACATTGTAATACCATTAAATGAACCACTTTTTGTTCTGTGTTGAGTCAGTTTGTTGGGACATTTGACTCAAAAACTTTATTTATGTTACCAAATATAAACTGAGATACTTATCCTAGGGTGCATCTGGGGCTTGAGGTTCTTCTGAGATCCAGGAAGCTCTGGTAATCTCGCTTTGCTTTACCTCATCTTTGAAAAAGTGACCTATATCTCCAAATCATTGAAACTCTATAATCTTAAGCACATGACCCTTAGTAACTATCATTTGGGGTGTTTTAAGGCTGTGTGTGATGTTTCAGAGCCTATTCGTTTATTTAAATGGCCATGGAGCATCAGTGCTGCATGACTGTTTTGTTTTCTCCAGTGCAGTCACCTGTCCGTGTGACTTGCTCACCTTTGTTACTTTGTGCCAGGCACTCATCCTGTGGCTTGATCAGTCGGATAGTGTTGTAGATGTTGCTCCCGTCCACACTCCTCTGCACTCTGGAGGACTTCTTGTAAACCTCCGTCAGATATTTCATGTACCTGTGCTCGGGTTTGAGCTTTTTCTTCAGACCGGGGTTCCACCTCGACCCCCCGTGCCTCGACAGAGCTTTCAGCAGCGGGGAGAAGATGCTGTCGTACTGGTAGGTGAAGTCGGTCAGTGTGTGCGGCGCGTTAGTGGCAGGCCTGGAGGGCGCAACCAGCGGGAAGCTGCAGGTGACGAGCAGTAGCAGAGCGACAGTGCGAAAACGACGAAGGGCAGCTGACATCAGCATTTGTTTTTCCATTATAAACAACGAAACCGGTCAAAACCTATCGGGACTCTCTGTGGAGAGCTCGAGGTCAACAGGAGCGAACACGTGCTGCCGCTGATCAACACGCGCAGGTGTTGGCAATCAGCTCCATCACTCATATTACTTTGTCACGTAAAAGAAAGCTGCTGCAGGAGCCCCTGTGGCTTGGTCGTGTGAAAAATAAGAATCAGAACTGCAGCGAGTTTGTTTTATATGTAGCATAAGTGAGAGGACTGTGTTTTGTAAAGCACCAGCTCTGATTAAACTGTGAATCTTTAACTTCTGGTATTGAAGTACGTTTCCGGTTATTGTAAAAACCAGTTCAGACTACACATTTTAACATTTAAAGTGGGAAACCGAGCCCTCTAAACAGATTTGAAACACATTTTAGCAAATTTAAATACATTTAATCCTAAGGTAGGTGAATTTTAGCAGAGCTACACTGTCTACCAGTATCTCAGAAATTATTTAAATTGTTATTTAAATTATTTACTTTTACCTGCATATAAAATCTGAAATGGTCTCTTGCCTTTTTATATTTCTGTAATTCTGTAAGTTTTAGATCCTATGCTGCTTAATTTTTAGTTATCCAGTAGTACTCGCGGAGAAAAACTGGGGGCGCAGCTCTCCCAATTTTTGCTGCCAAACGTTGGAATAGCCTACCTCAAAATCTTAGGAAAGGTAAAGAAAACATATATAAACACGCCTTGTTAGTGCTTCCACCTAATAATAAAAATACCACTGTGCAGCTATATCTGCTGCATCATTTATCATTTTATTGTTTATGTGTTTCTGGTGCGTTTCTTGTTTGTTTAAATGCTTGTTTCAACATTTTTATTTACCTCATTTTATAACATAGATTTATTTTATATCTATAGATATAGATATAAAAAAAACTGAACTGAGTTTTCGCAGCATGGATAAGGAAGAATTTAAGCTAACAAAAACCAAACATGTTGGCAATATGTTTTATATTTTGAAGAGCTTCCTCCAAACTTCCGGCGCCACTCTTATTCTTGTGTTTTAATTTTAAGCGAAAAACCTAAAGCAAACCTAACCTAAAGCAAAAAATTGTCAAGAAATATATAGTTGGCTGGTTATTTATTGGAAGTATCAACCGACCGTTTTATATAAGCGTATGCTGTCTGCTAGGCGTAAGCTAGCAAGCTTAAGCAGTTAAACTTAACTGCTATTTTAAACTTAACTGCAAAGACGAACGTGTTAGTAAGGGTATTCTGTATGTTTCAGGGAAATGGGATCCCAGCAGGAACCATTGGTTCCTATTAACACGGTAACCGATAACTCAACTTAATAATTAAATAAGTTTGAGAACAGTACAGTATTATGCTATAAAGAACATAAACAAGCCATACAAATAAAATTTACTTTTTGCCAGCTTCCTAGTACATTTTTTCCTTTTTTTCTTTTTACACCATTTTATTTGGACATCTTGAAAAGGCTGCCAACAGATTTATGTGGTGAGTTTGAAATAACCAATCTGGACCATGTCCCAGACAAATGTGTGTAGTTTTTGACAGTAACTGTTTATTTCCTCCATCCGCTCTCTGGGAAAAGCTCGTCAAATGTGACAGTATGTTTTGTCATGTCATCACTAGAAGTGTGGGTTTATGTTTACTGAACAGCTTCTCACCATTGGACCTGACATACTGTGCCAGATGACTAATTTGTATTGTTATTTCCATTATCTTTGGGATCTAAACATCAACAATAGCTGGTATTAGCTAACATTATGCCAGCTTATGTTAGGCTCGAGCGTCCTGAAAATCACACCTTGCCTCTGAAAAACAGTTTGGTTACATTCTCATTTTGGATGAGATTTTATTCACTAAGCATCAGAGTCCAACGATGTTAGATACACTGGCAGATATAGAAGTGCTTTGCAGCAGAGAAGTTCAGAATATCCTCAATATCAGTGTCATCTAACAGAAGTGAGTTTTACTGGCTCATTGACTCATTTCGGACTCCTTTCACAAAGCCTCCTCCAGAGTAAATAGATGTATGCACCCAGCATATTGCTAACGTAAACGGCTACAGATGAACGTCAGCCAGAGCATTTTGAGTGGACTTAGGGGTAAAAATGTAAAATGCTGCATTTTTTTTTTCTATTCCTGATTTATTGATAAGGGGTGATATTATTCAAAAATGTTAAAATATAGTGTGTAGAAAAATGTTTTTGTACAGAAATGCAAAGCAGCTGGCTATGGCTGTTATAGAGCAGTCTGAATGTAATGTTTCGCACTCTCTTGGCTGCCGTACACTGTAGCTAGGATTATACATTAGAATTAGGAGGGGTAAGAAATCAGAACTCAATTGACTGCAATCTACTGACATCTAGCGGTGGGATTTTACACACTGTACCTTTAAATGTAGGGATTGCATGTTCTCTCCTAGTACTCCAGCTTCCTCCACAGCCCAATAACTTAATCCAAAAAAACTGTCTGTCGGTATAAACGTGATTGTGAATGATTAACTTGCTCTAGTTGTTGATCCTGCAATAGGTAAACTGGAAAAAATAGCAGTGAAAATGTATGGATGGATAAAATTATAGGGGTGGTATGGTGGTGCAACGGTTAGCATGGTTAATTCATGGTGTCTGGTTCAAGTTCCAGAGTCTTTGTGTATGGAGTTGGTGATTTTAAATTTGTGATTAAATATCTTCATTGGGTATATTGTTATTTTAAACGTTAGTATCACTATCAGTCCAGAATATCACAGTCTCCACTCACAAATTGTTTTGTCCTTGATTGGCACATTGCAGCCACTGGTTTTTATAGTGTTCCCACAGATTTCTGTTTATTGTAAAAACTGTGATCCCTAACTTTGTTCTCAAACACCACGCTTGTGGCACATCATATAATTATGGCACCACACTACAGCTTTTTGTACTGGTGTTCTCTGGAGTGTAACTATGAACTCAAGGGACCATTTCAGAGCTTTGGTTATAACTTTGCCCCAGTTTACTACAAGTACTGAAGCAAATAAAATCAGTTTATTTACAGCAAGAGCAGTTAGTATATAAAGTATATAAAAACAAAACATTTTTATTAACGGGATCTAATCTAGTTACCCTAGAAAAACTTTGATGTTTAGAAGTTTTGCTTGGATCATGGGACATAGGAAACCTTTCTGTGGGAGATTTCCTTTTATAATCACATGACACAGTTTCTATGAGTGGAGCTGTCCTTTGTCTTTATGTAAGCAGCTTCTTTTCCTAAATAACAACACAAAGGACATTGTTCTGGCACTGCTCTGAATACGGCTTTATTGTCCAAGTGCCTTTTAGACCCAAACTTGTTTTCAGACTGGGTCAGCTAAGTAACAAATGAGGTTATTTAATCCCAAAATGATGTTTTGATGCATAGCTGGTCTTGAAGAAAAGACTTATGTTTAGTCTGTCGTGTCTAAACAAGGAAATATGTTTTAATAAGTTTAGGTTTAGTTATTTATGGATCTGATAAAATATTGCAAAGGCTTTTTCCACTTCATTGTGTTGAAGGTATTAAATTCAATGCAATTAAATGTTAATAAAGTCACTGCAATAGTTAGTGTTCCTTTGCTCATTAACTTTTGAATACAGTTTAATCTTATGTATTTATTTAAAGATGGGGAAACTGCTATGTATTTATTGCGGTATGTTTTAGAGCTGTGGCTGATACTGCTTATCCCACAGAACAGTGTCCTCCTCATACAGTACAAACTGTTGACAAAAAGTGTATAATGCAAACACTGCACTACCCCAACTAGTTTCTTTCCTGCTTTGCTTTGCTTTTATTCCACTCTCTTTGCATGTACTAACACTGAGATGTTGAATATGTTAAAACCTAACTTTATTTGTTTCTTCCGCTATACTGAATGTTTCCTTTTCCTTTGACAAAGCTAACTGATTTCATGTGGATGATAAAAGTGATTGTAAATGTGATCAGCAGCCCACAAAAGCAATGAGCATACTAGACCAATATATTACAGGTTGATGAGTTGAGAGTTACTATTTCCCAAGAAGTAAGGCGGTACAATCTATTTTTGTATTTCCTCATACTTTGAAAAGTCAGGAATCGAGAAGTGACCTGTAAATATTTACTACACAGTAGGTAATGAAAATATGCATGGCTATACACATTGTGGTGTTAATCAGTGAGAAAAATAACACATCAGTTTACATGAAATTTAAGATAAACAATGATCATTATAAATACCATTAATAATTGTTTTTTAAAAACGCACTGTACAATGCCATACAAAATACAGTAAGTTCTCCTCTGTAATTCAGTGAAAGACTATAAGATATGTAAAGCCTTAATAAGGTGTAAAGTATAAACAGTGTTATCTCCTTCAGGTTTAATAGTTCATGTCACAGCTTGTTTTGTGATACTTCTTACCAGTCATGAGCAAACTTAGTCTTTTGTTTCTTCCCATGAGGCTGAAACAGTTTACTGATTGTGTTGAAGCCTTTTGTCTGCTCTCTGTACTTCTCTATATCTTCTGCTTTCAAATTCTGCTTCATACCCAGAAGTGCTCTGACCTCAGCCGGAGCACCTTTGCCCAGGTAGTAAAAGGCCTTTTTGCCATCATTGTCTCTTTCGTTTACATTGGCTCTGTATCTTTGCACAAGCAGAACCATGACCTCAGTGTGCCCATGTATGGCAGCGATGTGCAAAGGCGTGTAGCCTCCATGTGCTTTGGTGTTGACGTTTACATGGATGCCACGTTTCTTGGGGATGTCCATGAGTTTGCGTATCATTTCGCTGCTGCCGTCCTTAGCAGCCCAGTGAAGTGCTGTGAACCCTGACATGAAGTCTTTCCTCTGGGCTAAGCCAGTGTCCTGCAGCAGCAAAGCATATATATGTCCCCACATCCCAGCTGCACACTTCACCAACCATTCATGAGCCAGTCGCTCCAAAGGCACAGACTCTGAGTACTTGGCATCATCTGCTTGTCTTGTGGACTTGTTTGGCAGCCTCAACTCTGGTAAAACTCGTGGGTGTGTGTCATCTGTGTGTGTGACCATCTTACTTTGGATTTCTCTGGATATACCCTTGCAAGCGGAAAAGTTTGCGTTTGAAGTTGGTGCTGGTCGTGTAGAAACTTTAGCACTCGAATTAATTGGTTTGTCTAAAGTTATCTGCTGATGCACTCGGGAGTGTGATCCGTCCAGTGCTGCTGCTGCACAGTCTCTCCCTGGAGATTTCACAGCTATGACAGCGAACACAGCTCCAGATTTCCCCGCTCTGCTCGCCTGATCTCCGGAGATATTCAGGATCTTAACAGTGGTCGTATCCTCGATACTCACGTTTCCAGATAACACACTCTTTTTCTGCATTTCCCACAGGGACATGTGTTTTACATCGGTGTTAGAACTGGGATTAAAGTTTGAGGCGTCGCCTACGTTATTGTTTTCTATATCTGAGTCAGTCCTGGCTGGCTCGGCTCGGTCTGGAGATGTGCAGGAAAAACTCGTGTTTTGGCTGGAGAAGCTCTCATCCATCTGCAGTTTCAGCGACACATCCTGTGCCGCCTCTTTAATAAAGTCCTGGTACCTTTTCTTCACGACCACAAACTTCACCTCGTCGATCTGTTTGACCACAGCGACGCTGTTCACCAGCTTCTTGAAAAGCTCTCTATTGTGCTGCTTTTCCGCGGGATCGCTGCAGTTGATGCTTCGTCTGAAATAGTTTAGCAGCTCCGAGTTCTTTACTTTGCCTCCATGCTCTAGTAAAAATGACAAAATGGACTCTTGGGTCAGATCCATGTTGTCCCGGCGGCGCAAAAATATGAAAAGATATAGCGGATGATTGTAGAGCCCAAAGGATAATCCCGCACTGCCTGCTCCCCTCTCTGCTGTCCTGCACCAACCTGCTGCTTCCGGCGCCTCTCCAAATAAATCCACCCGTATGTTATTGCGGCCCTCCCAGTTAAAAAGACTGTGTGCAGGGCTGACCCTCCCGTGATCAGTGGATTCATATAAAAGCTTAAATCTTCTGTATTTTGTCTTTATCAGCGTAGTATTTATTTACGTAGTACATGAGTACACGAGTTTAGCTTAATTTAAGATGTGTTTGTATGTATATGTGTGCGTGTATATATATATACGAGGTTACACTTACATACCACAGATATATTCAATTTCTCAAATATGTCATCATTGAGAGCTTATAAATTAAATTACATTGAAAAACGAAATTGATAAATACACGAGAACTGGAAATAAACATATTAAAAGCTGTCTGCATGTTGTAGCTGGTTACGGACGCCTATTTAAACTATTTTGCATTTTTTACACGGTTAGTTTTTCCTTTAATCATATATTTTCTCTGCAAAATTACATTTTCAACCATGGTTATCAAATAAATATTTAAGTAGCATTAAATAGAAAAAGTAACGTGAACAGGTATTAAATGCATAAATATTTCCACGGTCCTACTGTGTCGTTCATTTTCTTTATAGGCTCTGTACTCTGCTGTAACCCCACAGAAATTTCATAATCGCAATACAGTTATGTCTTCGTATATAAAAACACTTTCTGGGCCAGATATTACTATTTAGTGTCACTTTGTGTAAATATATAAACCTCGACAATTACGTGGTACAGGTTTTCAAGTCAGAAAACTGGATGAATATTGGAAAGCGGCAGAAAAAACTCCCTCTAATAAATAAATTGAACAATTTTCATTTCTATTGAAAATAATTACAAATAATAGTTAAAAAGTGCTCCCATTGTGAACCAGGTTGTTGAGGTTTTCCGTGCAAACCCAGTCAAAGCCGTTAATATCGTAATTTCGCGTAAAATCTCATCAAAAGCAACTATCTCGGTGTAGTTTAGTATATTTCGAGCTGCTGTAATATCATCCTCCAGCACCGAGGGGGTGTTGCCTTCAAGTAGCCATATTGAGAGCAGTGTGAGTCTGTGTGTGATGTGGATGGAGTGCAGGTCGTGCTGAACACTCATAATTCCTGCACACAGCCACTTGTGACGATGGCGGCCAGCGAGGTGGATGCTTTTGCGGTAAGTACGACGGTGGGCTGTCTGCGGGCCTGCAGCGGTGACGAGCGGTTTTTAGAAGAGCAGCGTTGAGCTAGCAAACGGTTTCTTACATTCGTGTGTAAATAAGAGCAAGGTGATGTGTGCGGGGATTGCAGCAGGAGGGCTGCGGTGATGAGGAAAGCTCGTTATGTGTAATGAATCGCGATGAAGATGGTTGATTCAGCGGAGAAATGCTTCGTCGCTCCGTTTTGAGGAGCTGGTCCTCGGAGACGTGCGGAAAGCGCGCACTTCAGCATCCAGGCGCGCTGTCTCGTACGAAACAGCACGGCGCCCTGCTGTGTGTCAGTACTTTCCTGTTCACCGTGTCAGCACCTCTGACAGGTGTGCACTGGTGCTGAATTAACAGCACGAAAGGAGCATGTGGTTGAAGACCAGGCCAGCAATGACTGAGAGACTGAGTTAAGAGGATAAACATAAGTAGTAGTAAGTGGTAGCTACCAGCTCATCAACCGTCAGCATCATATTGCTCAGCAAAAACATGTCAGCATGTTTCAGCCAGACATGTAATTCAGGGTAATGACATGCGTTAATTAAATCCTATCATGGCTCACCTCACATACCTGGAATTTAGTTTCCTGTCTACTTTGTAAAGGATGGAAGAGTTCAAGTTAATGTAGTGTTTGTGTTTGTGGAGGGGAGCGAGGGGGGTACCAGGGCAGCCAGCAGCTTGGATATCCTCCCATCCTGTGAAATAACATCCACATAAAGAGCTCTTTGTGTGGGTGGGTGTGTGTGTGAGAGAGAGAGATGTGAGGGAGAAGCAGAGGATTGTTGTGTTGAACACATCCTGGTGCTCATGTTGAGCCTTTTTGCAAGATGCCAGGCTCCCAGGGTGAATCTGGTATTGGAGGAACAGTCTCTCACTGCCAACTTACCAGGCCGTAGCATCATTCATCCTACTGCATATAGTTTGGGCTACGATATACAAACTCGCAATACCCAAAGCTCAAGCTGAGTGAGTTTATCAGCTTGAGTCTCTGGCTACATATATTAGGTTCACTGATATAAGTTACTTATAAGCACCAGTTTTAAAAATAATTCATCAAACAAATATTTGTTGATGATTTAAATGTTCAATAATAATAATATCTTTATTTTTGTACCTGAAGGCTGAGGGAGGCTGTACCAAAGTTTAGCTGCTATAACGTCTAAAGTGTGCTGCAAAACAGTCCCAGGGAGTTTGGTATATACAGAGCAGCTTGTGTATGTCGTTTTTTTTTATGTGTAATTAATTCATTTTTACTATGAATACCGAATTACACTTGAAGCCAATGAAATCATGAAAAAACACACTAATCTACTCCATTTCATAACACATGAAGCACATGATACATTTAATGTGACATCAGTGCTAACTGGGATTTGGTTCACTATTTGGATAGTTCCTTTTTATAGATGGGACTGTTCAGTGTGTTAATTGGAAGAGGGAGAGAGGGAGAGAGAGAGATGACCTCATTTGCAAAAGATGCTTTTAAGCCTAAGAGCAGAGTGTGTGTGGATGGGATGTGACAGATGGACCTTTTAAGCTCACCATTCCAGTCACTGTTTTATTTTGTTGGATATTTACTAGCATAGGATGAATATGGTTTTGTTTTCATTGTAATTTCTCAGAATGAAGAGAAGCGAACTCTGGAGCTCAGTGGTCATGTGGGGTTTGACAGCCTTCCAGATCAGCTGGTCAGCAAAGTATCTGCACAGGGATTCTGCTTCAACATCCTCTGTGTGGGTATGTCTGAACCCAGGAGGAGCTTCAAACTTAGTCCTGTAACCATAACAAGAGTTCATTTGAAATTCACATGCACTCATTCTGCTTCATCCGTAATTTTCGCTCTTTGTTTTTCTGTCTGTTTTTAAGGTGAGACCGGGATCGGCAAGTCCACGTTGATGAACACTCTTTTCAATACAACATTTGAAAATGAGGAAGCCAGCCACTATGGGCAAATGGTGGAGCTGCGCCCGCACACGTATGAACTGCGGGAGAGCAATGTCAACCTCAAGCTGACTGTTGTACACACTGTAGGGTTTGGAGACCAGATCAACAAAGAACAGAGGTACAGGTTGCTGATGGATGTGATGATGGACTTTTAGTTAAAATGACTGCTATCCAGACTGAGCTTTTTTTTCTTTTTCTTTTTTTTAAAGAGGAAGAAACAGTTTAGAAATCAAAGAAAACCTTTGAAAATTCACAGAGGTTACACTATAAACGTGATAGATCAGTGCCAACCCTGAATCACTTTGCCATTTTTCTCTTATGCTGACACAATTTCCGATTGTAAAATCGAGAGCCAGCTCTGCCCCGCTGCTGGCATTTAAATTGGAGAAGAAGAAAGGGAACGGGGGAGTGACTGATAGAGCAAATGTGGTTTCAATAGCCATTTTAGTGCTCCATCAGCAGGAAGTGTACGCATCTAACACGCTTGGCTGTGTACAGAGTTTTTACCATGGTTACCGATATGTCTGTTGAACAACATGAAGTTGAATGTTCATGCATGTAATGTTTTTTTTTACTGCAGCTACAAACCCATTCTTGAGTATATCGATGCCCAGTTTGAGAAGTTTCTTGAAGAGGAGCTAAAAATAAAGCGCTCCCTGTTTAACTACCACGACACGAGGATCCACATCTGCCTGTATTTCATCGCCCCCAACGGACATTCTCTGAAGTCCCTCGATCTCGTCACGATGAAGAAACTGGACAGCAAGGTGAAAGGAGAACCAAGCTCTGTGTATTTCAGCAGTTATTACTGAGTCCGTGACTTATCTTCTGGTTATCTTCAGGTGAACATCATCCCCGTGATTGCGAAGGCAGACACTGTGTCCAGGAATGAGCTAGAAAAGTTAAAGATCAAGGTTATGAGTGAGCTGGTCAGCAATGGAGTCCAGATATATCAGTTTCCCACAGAGGATGAGGCTGTTGCAGAGATCAACTCCTCCATGAATGTGAGTCCTAAAAACAGATGAACATAAAAACATGTGCACCGTGGATTTGGTACCTAATGCTTTTTTAATGCTTATTTGTAGTCATCAGTTAATCTGCATGCTTGCTCTCTCTTCTTTAAGCTAACTAATATTATGCTGATAATCACATGTAAGAATAATCAACTTTGTCATGCCATTTGAAAATAGATGTTCATTGGTGAGGAAATAGTATTTTTAGAAACGTTATATAATGCATAATGGCATATTAGGATCCTGGATATGACGCAGCATTATTAATAGCTCCATATTCTAAGATTATCAGTACTCTTTGTCACAGACTCTTCTGCCGTTTGCTGTGGTTGGAAGCGTAGACGACGTGAAAGTAGGAAATAAGATGGTGAAAGGAAGGCTGTACCCCTGGGGATCTGTGGAGGGTGAGTCTGTTGAAATGGTTTGGCAGTCATCATGAGGGAGCTGTTTAGTCAGATGCCTGCTGCTCAACTCCAGTTTTTATTTATTTATTTATTTTAGGTATAAACATGATGGATTTTATGAGCAATTAAAAGACCAGTTTTTCTTTTCAGTGGAAAACGAAAAGCATTGTGATTTTGTGAAGCTGAGGGAGATGGTGCTGCGTGTGAACATGGAGGATCTCCGGGAGCAAACGCACGCTCGTCACTATGAGCTGTACCGTCGCTGCAAGCTGGAAGAGATGGGCTTCAAGGACACAGGCACTGACAGCCAGTCGTTCAGGTGAAATTAGGGAAAGCAGTGATGCAAATGCATCTGGGCAATTTACTTTATCAAAAAAAAAAAAAAAACCCAAAACAAAACTCTAGCTTTCTTATGAGGTTAAAAATGTGCAAATAACTTATTCATAAACAGCACATTAAAGTCAATGTTTTAAGGAGATTTAGATAAAGAATGTGACTTGAAAACTATTAATCCCTCTGTATCACAGTTAAAATGTTTTATAATTTGGTGTGTCTTGTTTTCTAATTTTGAATGTTGAGTTAAAATATTGCTTGTTTATTATTATTTATTACTATTGCAGAGCATTTTTCTGGATGAGTTCTGTTAGCTGTAGTTAACATTACAGCGTTTGCTCTACAGATTTTATGGCTCAACGAAGTGTGAAGTTATAGGGCAGTAAAGTGAGCATATTATTGACTTTACCCTGATCTCCAGCCTGCAGCAGACGTACGAAGCCAAGAGGAAGGAATTTCTTGTGGAGCTGCAGCGCAAAGAAGAAGAAATGAGACAGATGTTTGTCAACAAAGTGAAGGAGACAGAAGCTGAGCTGAAAGAGAAAGAAAAAGAGGTGAGGATTAACAAAGTCATAAAAGAACTCCTGTGTGATCATATCTGATATTTGGCTTGTATGACATTGCTCTGTATATACATTATCATCACCCGTAGCTTCATGAGAGGTTTGAGCAGCTCAAGCGTATGCACCAAGAAGAAAAGAAGAATCTGGAGGAGAAAAGACGAGAGCTGGAGGAGGAGATGAATGCCTTCAATAGGAGGAAGGTTGCAGCAGAGACACTGATGGGACAGGCACTCCAAGGTTGCTCACAGCAGCCATTCAAAAAGGACAAAGACAAGAAGAAGTAAGTTAATGTGTTTGCATTTACCTTGTGCTGGTTGCTTCATTCACACACTTATTGTCAGCAGAACTGTTAATACAGTCAATGAGTAATACCATGAGATCAAGCTATTTATGGATAACCATTGTCAATCTACATTATATTCACTGACCTTCCATATCATGGAGGTCAGTCTTTGTGGTGTTTTTTGGAAAGGGGGGAGCAGTAGAACGTGATTAACGAGATAGTGTTATCTTCCCGGAGGCCATGTTGGCTCAGAAAAGGATACGGGGACAGATTCAGACTGACACTGTGTGCCCAGACACTGTAGGAAGGGTCACAGCTTGGATGACACAGCCTGATGCTTATGTCTCTGCAGGCTGACCTGCCAGACTGTATCTCGGGCAGGGACAGTTCTGTTTACATTGGACTGGTCTCACCGATGCTCACGCCATGCAGAGCACAGATGATACTCATACATCCCGCAAAGAGCTGTAATCATGATGTTGCGTATGCTTTAAATGCAGCTTGATCCTGGCATCAGCCTTGTAAATCACAGCACACCGAAGCTGTCTTAATAGTGAGTAAAATAGAAAAATGAAAAGAACTGAGTGAGCAGAGTTTCTTGGAAACATTTACTATTAATGGTAAGGGCTTCAGTATTCCAGACAGTAAAATTTTATGAGGCGTTTAGCCAGTATAATTACATGTGAGGTGGATGAAGAGATTTCAGGTATTTTAATGTTTTAATAATTTTTCCTGCTATTCTTATAACGCTGTTTTGAAAAAGCAATAAATGCATTTTTATGCATTTCAAAATTAACAGCTTTGTACACTAAGCATATACACAAAGGGATTTATAAAATAATCCTTTAAATTTGTCATGTGAAAGATGAGGAAATGTTTGTAAAAATCTTACTGTAGACAAGAGTGAGCTGAAGCTTTAAGGTAAGATTGCAAGTGGAGAGTATTTAAAGTCACTGTCTAACCAAAAAGTCTGGTTGTTGTTGTTTTTTTAAATACACTCACTGAGCACTTCATTAGGTACACATTGCTAGTACCAGCTTGATCTCCCTTTTTACTTCAAAAAACCATCTTAATTTGTCATGGTACAGATTCAACAAGGTGTTAGAAACATTCCTCAGAGGTTCTTCAGGTCCATGTTGACATACTAGCGTCACCCAGCTCCCGCAGATTTGTCAGCTACAGTGGTCCCTCGCTATAACGCGGTTCACCTTTCACGGCCTCGCTGTTTCGCAGATTTTTTTTTCCGTGCAATTTTGCATGCTTTTTTTTATATTTTAATTTAAATTTTTTACAGCACATTGAGTTCTGTGTCCTGATTGGCTGTAGATTATTGTCAATCAATCTCTTCCGTGTCGTGTTTCCTGTACACTACAGAATGCGTTTAGCTTGTCAAATTTACATAAATCTTCGATCGTTAGCAGCGTGACTGTGTAAGTTTTCTCCCCAACAAACACAACAATGTCGACAAAACGTTTTGCACTGTCAAAGGCACCTGCGGTAGCACCCAAAAGGCAGAGGAAGATGCTAACCATCGCACAAAAAGTTGCACTTCTGGACATGCTAAAGGAAGGTAGAAGTTACTGTATTTTTTGGATTATAAGGCGCATTAAGCAAAACAAAACAGTCAGATAAGTCAAACTTTACTCAACTCATTCTTCTTGCTTCCTCCACTTCCGTATGATTGAATTACACTGAATTGAATTGATTCTGTTAAATTCTCTCACAGCTGCTCTATTCTGTTCTGTTCTGGACCTGAAATTAGGGTTTGATCTTTGGTTTCATTCTATAATACTGGACTTATTTTTCTACAAAGGTTTGAACTGTGAGAATGTTTAAACAAGAGAGGAAAGTGTGAAAATGTTCATGCCTGTCTCAGAGAAGTGAATAAAGTGAGTAGTGAGGTGTTTTACAGCCTTAAAACATCTATAATATTTGTAAATAATAAAGTTGGCTACTTCACGGATTTCACCTATCGCAGGTTATTTTTAGAATGTAACTCCTGCGATAAATGAGGGGCCACTGTATACATCCACAATGTGGATTTCCCATTCCACTACATCCCCATTGTGCTCTATTGGATTGAGACCTGGTGACTATGGAGGCCATAGTACTGGGGTATTGTACTGGGGTTTTGTACTTACTAACTCATTGTCATGTTCAAGAAATCAGTTATCCTGCTAAAAAGAGCCATCAGATGATGGGTACTCTCGTCATACAGAGATGGTCATGGTCAGCAACCATATTCAGTTAGGCTGTGGTGTTTAAATAATGGCTAGATAAGAAGAGTCCTAAATTGTGGTAAGAAAATATCCCCCACACCACCAGCAGCCTTCATTCTGATTATGCCATCCAAATTTTGCAGCACAAATCAAGATTCATCACACCAGGCAACATTTTCCATTTCCTATTTTCCAATTTTGGGTTATTTTGCAATAATGAGCAGCTGAACAGGTGTACCTAATAATGTGGCTGGTGAGTGTGTATAGCCATTGTTGGTGTATAAAGTGTTAAGCTGTCGGTGTTTTCCTGTTGGACTTGAGCTCAGAGACAGTAGAAACCTCAGACTTGTCACACAGCTAAATGTATCTCTGGGATATTTGTTAGTAAATGTGATTTTAATGTTAAACTGTCAGTAATGGGAGTTGAGCTGCCAGCATATTTCAACACAAACACTCTTGCGTTCCAATTCATTCACTATTTACTTTTGATTCCTGCCATATTTCAGATCCTTCATCCTTTTTTTTTCTTTTGCCATATTTTGTCATATTTCTTTTCCCCTTTCAGTTGATTTATGGATCAAACATCAGTGGAAACCAGGAATGTTTGTGCCATCAGCATGGGAAAAACGATCTTACGGATGAGAAAGGGAGCCTTGTTCAGTGTATTTAAGTTTCATATGCTGATTGTGCTAAACACATAATAATAAATGAATGGACGTTTTTCATAACATGTAACTTGTGTAGTTTTATGTTCTTGACAAGAATGTATGTTCATCTTCAGTTGTAAATTTAAGTCTCTGGTTCTCAATGAGACACTAACAGAACTTTATATTAAAAAATGAATATTGAATAATCTTTTTACGTATATATGAATACATTTATTCACAAGATGCTTTGTAACGTATATGAATATACTGATCTTTTTTAATTGTTGTTTTTCTCAGGTGATATCTTTCAATTGCCTAAGCAGTGTTCTGTGCAGCGTTAT